CATCAAGAAACTAGACGTTATATGAGACGAATCTTTAGCTTACTTCATTTAAACTTTTCTTATAATTATGCTATAACTTTGTCATCTTCACTCTTTATTGAAATACTTGGACAAACAATTTTGGGTATAAAATTGTTGTCAAACACTTCTATGGTAGAAGGGGTTGGAAATAGATATGATATATGATAAACCAGTATAAAAAAACTGTGGACTGTCATTTGTTTCCTTCAACAATTATGGTCCATCTTCCACTAAAATTGGTTCAGCTGTATTAATATATAGAATGACTCAAGGGAAGATAAACCAGAAAGTTGCATTATATTAACCAAATAGGAACAGCCTTGTCCTCAACCAACAACCATTAATTCAGGTCCAAGCGAAGACGGACAAACCTTATGAAAAAAAAAAATTCGAATAAAATAAGATCTCTAGTTCAGCAGTTAACTAACCAACAGAAAGCATTAAAAGCATAATCCCACACCAAATTATATATAAACATTGATTCAGAAAGTATCTTAATATTCCCATTTTTTCAACTCCATGCCATCAGGAGGACTTCCCTCCACCTTCTTTGATCCCACTTCTTTCCAGTTTGTAGACAGCACAGTTCCATTAGACTCCACCTATATAATAAAATTGAAGAGAGGTAAGGTGCAATGAATACACCAGCATGCACTGAACACAATTTGCTGCCATTCTCTAAATAATAGTTGTGATTGTGATTTACTAGACATGCCCTGAATAAAGAGGATTTAAAAGTTTGGCCTATGTAATGAGCAGAATTGATAGATGAAGAATGTAAAACTCACAAATGACTTTTTCATTGCTCTTCTGGTATCCTCATCTGCATCTTGGTATATTTCCCGGAAAAATTTGTTCAATGCAGCATCCCCGTCGAGCTTTTCATCTTTCTCCTGAAATGAAGAATGTTAGGAGCAAGATTTGCACTCACTAAAATACAAACAGTTAACACATTTACAAACCTCTTTCTTGACTTGAGCTTCGATCTTGTCCCAATCTCTGGTTTGTTTTGAGGACGGGTAAGAAGGTCTATGACTTGCAGTAACTGCAAAATTTACGAAAAGGGATAAAGCATTTTAGCATGAAAAACTGGACCTTGCCATGCACCTTTAGTAAAACGGTTTATGTTCCTGCTAAGATAAAATCTCCACCCTTTTTCAGTGACTTCTAGTTTTACATTTTCGTTCTTTAATTCATTAAATTCCCAACTTTTCCTCTCCTTAACTAGTGCAATTTCTAATCTATCCCTTCCTTAAAAACAGTACACCTTCCCACCCTTCACTTGCACTAATTATAGTCCCATGTTTATGGTCTCTACACATCCATCACATTTGCATAGGACCCATTATACCAAAGTCACCACATGAAGAAAAAGGAAACCATTATACCAAAGTCACCAAACAAGAGAGGAAGGAAACTCCAAAATCCAAAATAAGTATCAAGTTACCTGAAGAGGCATTAACCATCTGTGGAACTACAACGTTTTTGGTGAATTCAAGAGATGACCAATGAATAGGTTCCGCTTTCTCAAGGCGAATTTCAATTTTGGTTGATAATACATCATACCGGCAATTGGAGGGTACAATCTGATAGAGGAAAACCAAAGTTCAACACAGTATACACAATACAAAATAACAAAAAGCACTAATAATATAAACCATACAAAGGAGTTTAAATGCAACTATGGAAATAAAGGTGCTTGAGACCAGCCAAAAAAAAAAAAATAGGACGAGATAACCAAAGCTTAAACTATCTTCAGTATCAACCACACTAGGAAAAAACCAAAACTACACTATGCACGTATAAAAGACTGTAAGATACATTTTCCCAGTGATCCAATCTTTTATGCTGACAAACAGGTCTTGTCCATACCTTTCCAAATAAGCGAGTTTGAAAAACATATGCATCTTCCCCTGGGACATTAATACTAACACTTAGCTACAAAAGATAAAAACAAGGAGGGACTAAGATTAGAATGTGATTCACCAAAATTAATACAAGTGCACCAAAGGCTAGATAAAAAAAGCATTTAATAAATATTGTATGATGTGAACCATACTATTTGTTCGCCAAATTCAACAGTTATGCTTTCCTTGGGGATTTTCTTTGCAAATATGGTTACAACCACCTGATCAGGTTTCTGGTAGAATTCATGCCTGCNATAAATGTTAAGATATTTCAACAAATCTAGTCGTAAAATAGTTTAATACCATGTTAAGAATCAAAGTTAAACAAACTCATTCTTACAAAATCAAATTACAATAAAAGAAAATTATCAATACTCATATTATCAATACCTACACTAGTGTAACGAAGGGATATTGCTTCAGTTATTTTGGGTTTATAGCAGCGGTGTTAGAACCGAAGTATATTCAGATGAGATAAAAAGTCAGGACTTTTGACCTCGGCTCAAAAATTAGATAAAAAGTTTACGATTTTGTCTCGGTTCAAAAAACCTAAAGCAGTAAAGCAAAAATGAAAAAAATAAAAAATGGATCTATTGTCTCAGTTCTTGATCCAACCGAGACAATATCATTCATTGCCTCGATTGGATCCAGAACTGAGGCAATAGACCCTCTTTTGCCTCGGTTTTTACCATAATCGCTATCTAAAATATGTTTTTTTTAAATTGATCGTTTCTGTAAACATTCCATATCACTTAAACCATATCACACAATCCCAGAAACATAGAAACAAACCTACACATAAAAGCAAGTATCAACAACCCAGAAATACAGTCCAACATATAACTATTTAATGTGATTTTTGGTTTTCATAACTATGGTTATTATTTTTGAACGAAATTTTTTTTAGCACAATTTTAAACTCCTATTTTAGGAGAAAAATCCCAGGAGCCTTTAATCTGAAGTTTAAAAATTAGTTTGATTGCAAATCTTAAAATGACCATAATTTTCACTCTGGTTGTCCGATTTGTTAATATTATATATGAATTTGGGGTACAAAAAAATTTATGATATTGTGGTGACTCGCGCAACTAGCTAGTAGTCCTTCCAGATTGAACAAAAACGTTGTTTTCTATTTTATCGAGAATTGTTTTTTTTAACTTTGAAAAATATTTAAGCATAATCCGAGTTTGGAGTATACCAATGTTCTGATGTGTATGATGTATGAAGAACAAACAACTAATCGAAAACATGAAAAATCTAAAACGAAACTAACCTTCAAAGTGAATTTAGGGTGAAAATGAAACGAAATGAACATCCCAAAGCGTCTATTAGAAGAGCACATGTCCACAAAATCAATTAGTCAAAACAAAAGAAAATCATACTTAAGCACTTAATCAACGTAGAATGAAAGAAACAATACAAAAAAAGTTGAAGATGATGGTCGCGAAAATGGAAGACGGGAGAGCAGTGGCAGAGTTTCACACACAGAAAATGACTTCTGTCTGAAAATGGATCTGTTTGTGAAATTTAACGTTAAATACATATTATTACCTTGGTTCTATAAAAAATCGCTACCTAAAACCTCTCAAAAAAATAAAATAAAAATCAGTTATTTTATGCCTCAATTCTACAATGAACCGGGGCATAAGTACTCTATGGCATCGGTTCTCTAAACAATTGAGGTTATAGACTCTTTTAGGCTTCCGTTCTTTTTTAACCAAGACATATACGTTTGCGATAATAACAAAAATGTTATCACGTCATTTTATGCTTCGATTGCAACAAAAGCGATATCAAATGCACGAGTTAAAATCCATATTTTTTACTAGTGTTATATATTAATTTTATTTTTAATTGACTTGAAATCTTCTACAAAATTTATCCTAAAAATATATATTTGGGTTTTGTCTAACATCCTCATGTTGAACCTTGTAAGAGATATTTGGGAACAATTGTTACGTTCAACTAAAAGACGACTACAATGTTTAAATATCTAAAATAAAACATTAAAAGTTAGAACGTAATTGTGTGTCAAAAACCTGTGCCCAAAACTTTAAAAATAGAATGCTCCAATTTTATATACACTAAATATTTTTGCAAACTTGAAAAAAAACTATTACACAAACATTAGTACAACTTCATGCATTCGATTATGTTACTTTTTATTGTCCAAAATCAAATCCAACTTATCTCGTCCAATTTTTTAGTATTTTTTTCAAATAGAGATAGCAAATGAATTCCTTTTAGTGATTTTTATGAGTTTTGTTCAAATTCATCTTACTTTTTATTGGAAAACCTCACATTAACTAAAAATTTATATTAAATATTATTTTATTTTAATTTTGTAATTTATTTATAAGACAAACAATAATTTTTACTCTTTTCTATAATTATTTAACATATATTTAATTATTATTTGATATACATATAATTATATTTTTTTTCTACATATTTAACATAAAAAAAACTTTGATATTAAATATTTGATAATATTATATATTTTTTAATATGATTTTTTTTTATAAGAAAACTATTTAACCAATATTTAGAACTGTAAAAGTATGAGTACGGCATCTCTAATTCCAAAACTAATTATTTTAGATGCTACATATTTATTAAAAATATTAACTATTACATTTGTGGACAAAAATAAACTTATTTATTTTAAGTTCTTCGAAAATTGTACTGCTTTAGCATGTATAATTAAAGATATAACTTATGAAACAATTATAGTTTTGGAATGGAGGAAATACTAAAATTTTAATAAAAACAAAATTTCTCAAATTTCAGGCCATGTCCAAACATAGTTTTAGAAACATTTAAAGAAATTCTTTATGATATGTTATAATGCTAAAATATATTTACATCTATTAAAAGATTGTTTTTATTTTTAAATTTGCATAAGTACTCGTTTGAAACAAAGTAGTCAATTAATGAAGAGAAGTTCAAATAAAAAGAACCAAAATAGGAAAAGAGCATGCTGGTCAAACAAATAATACATTACGTGTTAGTTAATTTTCTAATACTTTATCATCTCTTCCATCAAAGTAGTAAGTAGATACTACAAAAGTCTTTCATTTGTACAACATAAAAGTGGCATTTTTAAGAAACTTATATATTCACTTACCCAAAGAAGTTATATAAAAGGCCATCCTTTCATCAAGAAACTAGACGTTATATGAGACGAATCTTTAGCTTACTTCATTTAAACTTTTCTTATAATTATGCTATAACTTTGTCATCTTCACTCTTTATTGAAATACTTGGACAAACAATTTTGGGTATAAAATTGTTGTCAAACACTTCTATGGTAGAAGGGGTTGGAAATAGATATGATATATGATAAACCAGTATAAAAAAACTGTGGACTGTCATTTGTTTCCTTCAACAATTATGGTCCATCTTCCACTAAAATTGGTTCAGCTGTATTAATATATAGAATGACTCAAGGGAAGATAAACCAGAAAGTTGCATTATATTAACCAAATAGGAACAGCCTTGTCCTCAACCAACAACCATTAATTCAGGTCCAAGCGAAGACGGACAAACCTTATGAAAAAAAAAAATTCGAATAAAATAAGATCTCTAGTTCAGCAGTTAACTAACCAACAGAAAGCATTAAAAGCATAATCCCACACCAAATTATATATAAACATTGATTCAGAAAGTATCTTAATATTCCCATTTTTTCAACTCCATGCCATCAGGAGGACTTCCCTCCACCTTCTTTGATCCCACTTCTTTCCAGTTTGTAGACAGCACAGTTCCATTAGACTCCACCTATATAACAAAATTGAAGAGAGGTAAGGTGCAATGAATACACCAGCATGCACTGAACACAATTTGCTGCCATTCTCTAAATAATAGTTGTGATTGTGATTTACTAGACACGCCCTGAATAAAGAGGATTTAAAAGTTTGGCCTATGTAATGAGCAGAATTGATAGATGAAGAATGTAAAACTCACAAATGACTTTTTCATTGCTCTTCTGGTATCCTCATCTGCATCTTGGTATATTTCCCGGAAAAATTTGTTCAATGCAGCATCCCCGTCGAGCTTTTCATCTTTCTCCTGAAATGAAGAATGTTAGGAGCAAGATTTGCACTCACTAAAATACAAACAGTTAACACATTTACAAACCTCTTTCTTGACTTGAGCTTCGATCTTGTCCCAATCTCTGGTTTGTTTTGAGGACGGGTAAGAAGGTCTATGACTTGCAGTAACTGCAAAATTCACGAAAAGGGATAAAGCATTTTAGCATGAAAAACTGGACCTTGCCATGCACCTTTAGTAAAACGGTTTATGTTCCTGCTAAGATAAAATCTCCACCCTTTTTCAGTGACTTCTAGTTTTACATTTTCGTTCTTTAATTCATTAAATTCCCAACTTTTCCTCTCCTTAACTAGTGCAATTTCTAATCTATCCCTTCCTTAAAAACAGTACACCTTCCCACCCTTCACTTGCACTAATTATAGTCCCATGTTTATGGTCTCTACACATCCATCACATTTGCATAGGACCCATTATACCAAAGTCACCACATGAAGAAAAAGGAAACCATTATACCAAAGTCACCAAACAAGAGAGGAAGGAAACTCCAAAATCCAAATAAGTATCAAGTTACCTGAAGAGGCATTAACCATCTGTGGAACTACAACGTTTTTGGTGAATTCAAGAGATGACCAATGAATAGGTTCCGCTTTCTCAAGGCGAATTTCAATTTTGGTTGATAATACATCATACCGGCAATTGGAGGGTACAATCTGATAGAGGAAAACCAAAGTTCAACACAGTATACACAATACAAAATAACAAAAAGCACTAATAATATAAACCATACAAAGGAGTTTAAATGCAACTATGGAAATAAAGGTGCTTGAGACCAGCCAAAAAAAAAAAAATAGGACGAGATAACCAAAGCTTAAACTATCTTCAGTATCAACCACACTAGGAAAAAACCAAAACTACACTATGCACGTATAAAAGACTGTAAGATACATTTTCCCAGTGATCCAATCTTTTATGCTGACAAACAGGTCTTGTTCATACCTTTCCAAATAAGCGAGTTTGAAAAACATATGCATCTTCCCCTGGGACATTAATACTAACACTTAGCTACAAAAGATAAAAACAAGGAGGGACTAAGATTAGAATGTGATTCACCAAAATTAATACAAGTGCACCAAAGGCTAGATAAAAAAAGCATTTAATAAATATTGTATGATGTGAACCATACTATTTGTTCGCCAAATTCAACAGTTATGCTTTCCTTGGGGATTTTCTTTGCAAATATGGTTACAACCACCTGATCAGGTTTCTGGTAGAATTCATGCCTGCATAAATTTTGTTTTCAAAGAGTCAAAGCCTGAGAAATTTAATTTAGTTCCTTCCTTTAATAGAAATTTTCCAGTTCACATAGTAGAACATTATCACAAGCAAACAATACAACGTTAAGCATTGCAGACTTGCTTGCAAGTTCTCCCTATCAGATACTAAATTAAAAATTGTTAAAAAAATTAAAAACTATGGGAATATCCTCTCTATAAGTTAATTGATAGATATCAAATGATTCATGATATTTAATTGAACAATGTAAACTTTTCGGATCGTTGGTTAATGGCTCTATAATCCACCATGACCAAGCAGTTTAGACTTTGATCCTTATCTCTACTATTCTAACATAAAGCTAAATTTGTGCACATGGAGGATGGAACAGTGGCCAGTGTAGCGCCATACTTCAAGCCCAAAGGTCTCTTGAATGAAGATATGTGCCAAGACATTAAATATAAAAAAATAAAATAAAATCATTCATTTTGACTTTACCCAAATCTTTAACTTTTGGGATGATTAGTTCAAACACAGCATCAAAGTCCATAATAAAGTGGTATAAAATTAGATATTTTCTCCCCCATTCTTTTAATGAAAAGATAAATTTCAGCAAAAAACTCTGAGCTTATTCATTGTTCATCTAAAGCCAAAAAATGGGAAAATGATAGACAGAATGTTAGGGAGTTAATTGTATATAGGAGGAGGGGTAAAGTCACAGAGCCTAACTGCCAAGGCAGTTAGGAATAGTTTCTGTTAATGCTGTTAGTAAGTGATATAAAAGGGGGATTAGTGGTTGGTTGGGTTTAGTTTTGGAGTGTTATTGTTTGGCGGGAACTCTTGTAGTTCTTTGGAGGGAGGTTAAGCTCTCGGGTTACATTGTATCACCATTCTTGTTGATTCTTTTCATTCTTTTCAATAAAAGGAGGCTGTATAATTCAGATACATTGTCTTTGTGTGTATTCGAGTGTTTGTCCATAGGTTCTTGATCCCAAGAACCTATCACAGAACCATTCATAAACTTCATCTAATAGATTAAGCATTTGGGAGTGTTACTTTTTAAGACAAAAAATAACAAATACAAAACATAATCACAATAACTAAAACAGCTGAAGCACTGTTAATATATACACAAATAGTCCTAGTGAATATGCATAACCATAAAGTAAAAGCATGTTTGACCTATATTTAGGTTTATTCACAGCAACTGGTGGCTTCTCTGGAAGATCATCCTGTTGTTCAACATCTTTTGGGTTATCATCCTGCGCTATGGTCTTTTCCTGTATAGGTATGGTGGTATAAGATTCTTCTGTTCAACACATGTCCATCAAGTTCAAGTCAGTTTCCTAGCCAAAAATGGCATCAATCCACATTTTCACTTCCAACAGTCAAGAAACAGTCATCAGTCAGACGTAAAACAAAATCTAAAACATGAAAAGTACACCTCAAAGACAAATAAGTTTAATTAAATAAAAAGGATTTTACCATTAGAAAGAACAAAGTTCACCTGCAATGAGCTTATCACACTCTTTGATTAAATTAACAAATCTTGGGTTGTCTGGAGACAATGAAGCACCAGTCTCCAGAGCAGCCTTGGCCGTCTGATACTCCTCAAGCTTCAAGCATGCAGTACTGCAATTGAAACAATAAATTTAAATGTCAAAACATAAAATAGGATGTGATCTGCTGATGCACAGAATGAAATTTCAATCAACTTTACCCTCAGATATCCTCATTAACCATCATGTAAATCACGTAAAATACGGTCATATTTAAATTTAAATAAATTATATATTCAAGCATAATAATCTCTTCATTAGTCAATAAAAAATTCACATTAATGGTTTAAATATAAGGCCATGTTTCAATAAGAAGACAATTATATAATATGCATGCTAGTATCAGATATATGTACATTGTGTATACATTGCCAATTTTGAAGTGGTTATGCATACAGATATTGTGCCACCTTATATCATTGTGTCTCCTCAACTGAATCTCCACCTTTCACTCTTATATGCCCATTTAGCATTGTTTCCTATTGTTATCCTCATAAATAGGGATCTATCATTTAGTCTAATAGAACACCATCATTTGATTAAATAGTCATTCTCTATTTAAGAGGTTGCTTTTGACAACACTTACCAAAAGTAACAATATTTCTGGATACTATATATTAAAAAAAGTTTGATTACTCATTTGGCTGAGTTCAATGTTTTGAAATTTAGTCCTGCACCTAAGAACTACTTATTTTAGTACTACCAGATACACCGTTAACTCTCTCAGTCCTTACACACACACACACTTATTAATCTATTTCAGTTCCTACAATTTTGGCCAACAGAGTCTAAAAAGAATAAAAGGTGCATATTTGTAGGAACTAAAACAAATGGTTTCTAACTGCAGGGACTAACAAATAGAATACAGGTATAAGAACAAATGAATAATCAAACCTTTTGAAAAAATTTAAAGACAAGGTGGCGTTGTACTTACCCTTTCCGTAGATATGCTTTTGGTAGAGAAGGATTCAATTCAATTGCTTTGTTAGCATCAGCAACAGCCTCTGCTCAAAAGAGGAAAAGCAAATCAAAATTCTAACTTAGTAAAACATTACAACCACATGTCTGCAGGGTGCAGACAACCATGAACACAATCTCAAGTAAAGA